GACACTGGAAGGTGCAAGGAGGCCGGAGAATTCTCTGCTGTGGCTTCTGCTCTCATAATTGACAGTCTGACTCATCGACCTGTATCTGCCTCGGGGTGGAATAGTATGATGATCGTGAGTTTCCTTACAGGAAGAAAACTCATGCAGACTCTCCTGCATTATGGCCGAGGAATGCTGAGACAATCGGTGCCGGTCTCAGCGTTCCTAGGCCATAACGGAGGAAAGTGTGCATGAGTTTTGTTCATGTAAGGCATTATATTTGAATCCATCAGCATTTGAACTCATAATCTGTTTGTTAACAGTTACATGTGTACCATTCCGCCCCAGGGCATACAGCTCGATAAGTCAGACTGTCAATTATGAGAGCAGAAGCCACAGCAGGAGTCTTCCAATTGATAAAATGAAGTGCAATGAGCCCGTCAATCATGAGAAGGTTCCACAGGTCGACCATGCAGGTGCCCCGAGATGAAAAACAGAAACTCTTGGGGCACTTATTCCGCGAGTGGGAGTCTTGTTTGGTAGAGAATCAAAACGACGTATCCACAGCATCACAATAATGACATCCATATCCAGGAAAACGAGTTTAATAAACAAATCGAGTGTCCAAAACCCTACAATCCACAGGCCACACGAAGAAGCAACAGAAAGCATAAATCTCAGACGGTGCAAGGAAAGGAAACCACAAAGGAGTCGGATTCAACTGAGCAGGAAAGGGAGGAGGAGTTGGAGGAGGAGCAGAAAGAAGACTTAAGAAGACAAGAGGTGATCCTGGAAGCGCAAGTCAACGTTCTCAAGGAGCAGAACCAGGAGTTGGGGGAAGCTACTATCTGGGAAAACCTCTTCTCGTCTGAACCGCCCCTCCAACTGCTCCTGTGGACTAACCCTTTTTTTTTTTTTTTTTTTTGGTTGAAAGTTGAAACAGAGGCTCCGCCTATTGGTGGGGAGCAGCACCTGCTGGAAACCGGGTCCAGCGTCCCTTTTACAAGTTCCTCCTAACTTGGGGAAACCTGAGAAGATCCGGTTTGGTCTGATCAGGAAAGTAACTCTGTGGGTAGAAAGATGCAGCCGCACACTGGAAGGAACTAAGACCCCTTGGGGGAAAGTATGGGCCACCACCCAAAGTCTGATTGAAGCAGAAGTTCTGTCACTGGAGGAAGACCAAAATTTGTATCCAGAACAATCCGGAAACGCAACAACCATCCATCGACAAATTCAGCCGGGTCTGGCTGCCGAAAGGGAAAATGGCAAGAATGGAAAGACCTCAAACTGAGGTGGAAAGACTGGAATAACTCAGCATCCACAACTGTACAACAGGACACACAGATACAGGACACGTCAACACAGTTCTGGGTATAATGGCGTCAAAAGAGAGCATCACTTGAAGGGAGCTGGACCATCCGCAGGGTACAAGATAAGGATCAGACGACCCATTGAGGGAGATTCACCATTCAGAGCCACGAGACTCTAGAACCACATGACATAGACAAGCGTCACTGCAGTTTTCCATCTCTGTTTTTCTTGCTTTAATGCTTAGCTAACAGGTCCTCCAGAGAGGAACCTGAGAGGAGTCACAGGGGGAGGCAAGCTGACAGTCAATCCTCCAGCAAATGGAGTAATCAATGCTGTTCAGGGACCCTTCGGCCGGACAGAAGGGTGCGTGAGTGAGTATATGATGTAATACTGTTATTTTGACTTGCCGCCAGGGTTGCACGTGCCAACCGCCGACCCCAACTGCCGACTGTATTGCAGCCGACCAGAAGGGCTGACCGGTCGGCTGTCTGCCGACCAGTCAGCAAACAACCATCCACTGATTTTTTTTCAAATCTGAGTTGGGGGCTGTACTGCGCTTGCTGAGTACAGCCCAAATCTGCTGAGAAACTTTTGGGGATGGGGGGGGAGGGGGGTATAGGGGGGTATATGGGTGGTATAGGGGGTACTGGGGTGGTTTTGGGGTGTTTGTGGGGTGTATGGGGGTATCTGGGGCCGCTATGGGGGTGTTGGCGGGGTCATGAGGGGTTCTGGACCCTTTTTTTTTCTTCTTCTTTTTTTTGCGGGGTGCCGCCGACCCCCAACTGGGATATGCCGAGCAGTCAAGGGCCGCTGACCGTTGGGGTATGCTACACTGCTTGGCAGGGGAATAGGAACCGGACTGACGCTCCCCATAATGGACATGGAGCCAGGACCATAAGGACCTGTTTTTTCTATTAAAAAAAACTAAAAAAAAATTAAAAATTGAAGCTGCGGGCAAGCTGAATGTCAGAAATGGGGTATTCTTTCCCTTCCTATTACGAGGATACACACGACGACTGGGAGGTAGCAATACCCCACTCCCTCAAGCTCATCACTGCGGAAGACAGTAGCTGCTCAGGCGAGGCACAAGGATGTTGATCTCGGAAGATCTGCAAGCGCGCGCATATGTGGTGGGCAATCTGAAGGAGGAGAAAGAAGAGTGGTCGGACTCAAGTGGAGGCCTGCTGGACAGGGACAATGGCGGCAGAGTGGGTAGCAAGGAGCGCAGCGATTGCAATAAAGACAGAAGCCCTCTCATGGAAACCCGACTACATAGAGGGGAAGATTGCGAGGATTGCCACAAAGATTGCCACAAAGATTGATCTGGTAGCAGATGGCTTGTTGGCAGGATCTTTTTCTTTTTTTTCTTTTTTTTTTAATTTTAAACAGAACGTTATGGTTCTGGCTCCTTTTCCATTCTGGGGAGCATCAGTCCGGTTCCTATTCCACCGGCAAGTCCAAGATAGTACAATGGTTACTCGCTCACGCTCCTCCCCCTTATGGCGTGGAGGCCCAAAAGACGGCATTGATTACTTCCTTGAAGGAGGATGTACCGATCTTCACCCCTGCTTAAGTTAGCCTACTCTAGACTGTTTTTCCCTTAGAAGCTATGAGTGTTAGCTATTTGACTTTGCTGGAACTATCCGGTCTCTTTTCTGTCTGTTCCTCACTGTCAATTGAGCCTATGGTGCGTCTCCGTTTTTCCGGTACAGAGGGTGTGACGGGCCCCTTTGCTCTAATTCTGGTTTCCTTTGGGGCAATTTTTTGCAAGTAATGTCTGAGGCTAAAACCCTAAACCCTGGATTACTGGTGGCGCGTTGACCAAGTTGGAGTAACATCTGGAAGTATCGTCTGAATGCAACCTTGAGAGTAGTGTCTGGAGCCAAAAACCCTAAACCCTAGAGATCTGAGAGGCAGGTGACAAGTTGACCGAGCTATTATTTGGAGTTTGGGCTGTGTATCTTGATGGGGGGTCGTGTGCTGCGTAATCGGTGTTAGGATTTAGTGTGGTGTGACTGACATGGGTGTGTTGGGTTTGTGGTGTGGGCGTGAGACCTGGAGGATGGGAAGGTATTTAGATTGGTGAGGGTGAGTTCGGGTGATGTTTGATGATGAGCGGTGGTTGGGGGTTGCGGTGGTAGGTGATTAGGCTGGGTTGATAGAAAAAGTTCATAGAGCGGGTATCTGTTCCATTTAGTGCGATGGGGGATAGGTTCTTTGTTACTGTGGGTTGTGTCGGAGTGGTGGGATTTTGGGTATTTGATGTGGCCAAAACTAACCAGTCTTGTAAGTGAAGTCTTTCTCTTTCAATTGTTACTAGTTTCCCGTTGCCTAGATTCAGGGAGATGAATTTATTAATGATCTCTTGTTTCTTATCTGGGGCATTTTGTAGGGATTGGAGTTTCGTGTATGTTATGTTCCATTGTGCTTGGATTTCGGTTTCGACCGTCTGTTTAATAGCTATGAGGGGGTTTTCAGGGGAATTACTAGAAACCTCGAATGTTGTTGTGCATCTCCTTTTTCAGATCGCCCAGAGGGTCGATTTTTTGATGAGTGAGAAGAAGAAGCACTCAAAACCTTTGAGGGGTGGGTTTTGTTCTACTTCTAGGAGAAGGGTGCCTAGGTTGATCGCGATGGTGTTATTGGAGTGTTTATTCCAGGTTAATTCTATATCGTGCCAGAGGTGCTTTGTCTTTCGGCAATCTATGAAGCAATGGTTGAGTGATTCTTCGAGTTGGGAGTTGCACACCCTGCACCAGGGTGTTTGCTCAGTGTCATTATCTTTCTTTCTTCTTTGCAATAGCCAGAGATTGACAGGTACTGC